TAGTTTCATCATCTTTCCAGTAAGAAATGGTGTAAATAAAGGGCCATCCATAAAGGACGTCATCCAAATAGGGGGAGGGGTTCAAATTAAAACGGACAAAAAAGGACAAGGGGAGGGGGAGGTTGTCAGAAAAGGACTTTACTTTATAGATTTTTTATTTTAGTTTAATTAACATAGAAAACTACGTAAACATGTGTTTTTGAGAAGATAATGTATGAGATTCAAACATCATTGCAAGATGAAATAAATTTTTTTGGAGTTTAAAATAGGAAGGAGGTTAGGATTTTATGAAGTCCTCACTATATAAAACACTTTTACATGTTTTTGGAACGTACCATTCATGTTCTAGTTTCTTCCAAACAATTCTATCTGACATGACATCTTCTAAATCAAATAGTTAGTCATTGGACAAGCGCTTGCATGAATTAATAATTTCGTTAAAATTCAATTTAAATAGTTCACACTCTAACTTTCTTTTTTCTTTTTCATCCATTTTTTGACGCTTGATTTTTTGTCTTTGGCAAATCTCATCTCTCACTTTGCATCGATGCAGTTGATTTGTAAATCTGTTTTTACGTGATACATTAATTGACCATTTAACAATCTTTTCTCTTAAACTTAAATCTAGATAATATGGATTTAATTACAAAATAATAAATAATAAAATAACTTTTATTATTTATTATTTTGTAATTAAAACCATAATGAAAAGTCAAAACATATAAATCTTACCAACAGAAATAGAAGATGATACTAAAAAAATAAAAATAAAATACACAACGTATCCTCACAATTATTTTGCAATTAAAATCATATTAAAAAGTAAGAATATATAAACCTTTCTAGATGGTTTAGATGACAGCGACACTAAATTTAAATTAAATGGTAGAATACTAGTCTCCCTCTCTCTATATATATATAACAATATATAGCAGTTTTATATAACAAATCTCTTATCAATTATTGAAGTAAGGTTTGCTAAAGATAAAGAAAATAAAGTAAAGTTTTGGAAATTAAATGGAATAATGTTTAACTTTAAAATACACTTGTTTCGAGTTATATCTTTATAATAATGTATTAATAATTTATACACTTGAAAATATTGAAATCAACACAACTAACTTATCTGTTTGCCATATTCACCTCAGTGCCAATGTTAAAATAAAACATGTTGAAAATTATAGAAATCTACAAAACTTACATATCTGCTTGCCCTACTCACCTAAATGCCAATTTTAAATCAAAACATTTATTCAACAAGGAATACTAGCACAGCATACAAATTCTTTAAAATGATATAGTAACTAAAACAATTCAATCTAAACTTACTAATTGTTTGTTCTAAATTGTCTACAGAAAAAAAAATTACTTAATTAAATGTAAGTATTAAGTATACAAAAATACAACTAACAAAAAATAATATTGTTACACAACAATCTACATAGGCATAATAAAGAACTGTATTAGAAAACTAATAGTAAATGACTAAATACTAAAATGTTAAATCATATAATAGGGATATAACTGACTAATCCTCTCTAAAGAAACTTCATCTAAACAAAAGTTAATTAAAATTTATTTTTACAAAGTAATATAAAAATTTGCATATAGTAAATCATTTATATATATATATATATATATATATATATATATATATATATATATATATATATATATATATATATATATATATATATATATATGTATATATATATATATACATATATATATATATATATATAGATATATATATATATATATATATATATATATATAAATATATATATATATATATATATATATATATATATATATATATATATATATATATATATATATATATATATATATATATATATTATAAAAGCATCTATTTAATAACTAATAAGCCTTTAAATACAGAAAGTAACTTACTTTGGGCATCTAAATAGTGAAAGAAATATTTAAGTTATACATAAAGGTTTAGATAGTGGCCAAATAATTTAAAAACAGTTTAATAAATTTTTATTGAAACAACTTATTCATTAAGATATTCCTTATTAAATAAAGAAAATGTTCAAACTTCAAATTAGATATAATTCATCACTAATTTGATTCACATCTAATTCTTATTATAAATGATTTAAAATACTAGATGAAACCTTTATTTTCTTTCTCTATTTTATTTTTAAATGAAATATAAAATCCAAGTCTTATTTTATTATTTACTTAAAATCGTTTTATTAAAACAATTTCTTTTAAATTTACAAATTATATAACTATATTTTTATTCTAAAATATCTAGGTTTACAATATCAATTTATGACATAAGTCAAATATTGCTAATATGAATACAATATATGTAAAATAAATATAAATAAAAACAATCAATTGACCCCTCTGTCTCCCGCGCTAACATCAGTTAAAATGTAAATTAGGCAACAAAAGTGCAGCAAGAAATAAGGTGACTGCTAAAAAATATTTTTCAACGAAATTTGGCAGGTGCCTAGATAAACGAATAAATTTAATAAAATAATTATATAGAAAAAAAAAGACTATATCCTGGTCATTAAATTCACCACAGAAGTACAACCAAAATTTTGACATCGATAAACTCGTTAAAAAATTGAGTGAGTATAATTAAAAACCAATCGAACTAATGCTTCAACTATTCTTCTTTCTGAAAATAATCTATGTTGATAACGAATACTAAAAAGTTATTCCACAAAGCCTTCTTCAAGCACGCTAACTTTTAAGAGACTACGGAAAACGTGGAACAGAATTTTAGCACAAAATTCGGTAGCGCGATACTCGCGTACCTATTTTAATTGATACTTCCTGTTTATTATTAGAATTGAATTTATCAAAATAGTTACTCATAGCAACAATATGCAATTAAATTTATTTTGTATACAAAAATTTTGGTATAATACCATAACAGCACTACTGATGATTTTTTAACGTACAGCTAACGTACAGTTAGCTAGGTTAACCTAACTAAAGTACGCCGACAAAGTTTAGATTAGAGTTCACTTTGGATGAACTCTTTCTTAACTTTCTTTGAGGGGACGGGATAGCTCAGATGGTTAGAGCGCTAAAGGAAAAGTTAAAACCTGGACTGTTGAACGACACGAGTTCAAATCCCGCCACCGCCAACTCTACTTACAGTAGTACTTCGGTACGCAAAAATGTTGGTCAATAACGGACGCTTCTTTGGATTAGTCTTAATGACTATTTGTGGCTGTTCCTATGCTAAGCCAACAATATCTTCGGATATATAAGAACATTATATAGAAAAATATAGCATGAAAACTCAAATAAAAAAAAAAAAAGTTATACAACGCTAAACACCGTAGAAGTCAGCAAATTATCAATAAACACAGGTATTCGGGTTTTTTTTTAAACTTAAACATTTTGTAATATTGATACATTTTTTTAAATGAAGTTTTAATGAAATTGATGGAGTTTTTAGAGAAAGCCCAACTTTCCATCACGTAAAACAAATTTCTTTTATAAGTTTTTCAACAACTTTAGAAAATACTTTTTTTTAGCAACCTATACCTAATGAAATTGATTTTAAAAAGGGATAAGTTCTGTTTGTGATCCAGTCAATTACTTTACCAGTCAATTAATTTAATTATCTCCTGAAAGTATAACATCAACTTCAGACAGTAATTTTTTTTTTTAATAAAAACAAAACAAACAAAAAATTTTCTTAACTTTTATTTAAAAGACTTGATGCAAACATCAAAGGTTTTTTTTAAATCGCAAGGTGAGACAAATAAAGAGTTTTGTTTTAATATTTCTTGATAATGAACCTAGCAATTCATATATATAGTCTGTATAGTTCATATATATAGTCTTGCGAGGTAGTCAGTAAGTCTTTCCATAAACTGTAGTTTTAAAGAGCTCGTTAATAAACCTGACTATATAGTTTGGAAATCATAATTTTTTTTTTCAAATGATAGACTGCCTGCCCAAATCAAACCCTCAGTCGATGTAGCAGCGCTCCATTGCGAAACAGGCTATTTTTCAGTCATGTAGCAGCACTCCGTTGCGAGTCAGGCTATAAGATAGTCGATGTAGCAACACTCCCTTGTAGCAGCAGCCAGGGCTGGTGCAAAGGGGTTATGACACCCTAGGCAAAACTTCAAAGGTCGCACCCCTTTTTAGTAAAAAAATCAAAATAAAATGCAAAATAAAGTGAAAACACCAGGTAAGTATTTATTTATTTAAAAATATCAAAACTGTACTTTGCGTGCCTTTTTCTGGGCAAAATCGATCACAAGGTCCTTCAGGTCCAGCTTGTCTGCAAGTTCGTGCTCAATGGAAAGAGTTGCCAACCCAACCAATCTGTTTTGGCACATGGTTGATCGAATGTATGTCTTTATCAATTTTAGTTTGGAAAAACTACGCTCTCCACTAGCGACTGAAACAGGTAATGTCAGCAAAATACGAAGAGCAATACAAAGGTTGGGTAGACTGTCTTCCAAGTTTTGGCAAAGAATAAATCGAAAAACATCTTGAGGAGACTTTGTTTCTTCAGAAAGTCGTCGTGCAATAGACTGTAGTTCGCCACACAAATCTGATGCAACTAAATCTCATTCAATCTCATAAATCACATTCCAATATTTCTTGTGAAGTTTTACTCTGTAGACCATGAATATGATATAAGAAACCAAATACAGATTCAATTGTTCTCATTTGTTCAAACCTTTCTTCAACGGACCTTATTGCTGTGTCAAGTATAGCAAAGAAAAAATTCACTTTGAAATTTTGTTTTGGATCTTGCACAGGCTCATCTTCAGCTTCATATGCAAATTGCTTTTTTCTCCGCCGTAATCGTGGTTCTGCCTCAAAGGTTGGTGGTATCTCCAAATCCTTAGCAATTTCAGCAGCATCCACTAGCATTCTTGAAAAACCTATGTCACTCCTACAGTCAACCAAATAGGCTTGTGTGTGTTGTAACTGTTGTACAGCAGCATGAATATCCAAATCTTTGGCTTGGAGCTGCTTACTTGTTATATTGATTTCAAAAAGTATGTTGTACCATACAACAATTGAACCACGAACTTAAACTTTGCAACACTGTTCGCAAGTGCTTTAGCATCACTGCGTGCAGTGCTTCCTGAGGATTCAGTTAGAGAAGTATCATCAGCTATTTCTAGCAGTGCGTCATATATTTTACCAAGTTCATATCGCAAAGGCTTTATAGCATCTATTCTGCTTTCCCATCTTGTTTCACTTAGAGGTTTAACAGTTAATGTAGGTTGATGACTAGTGAAAACTACCCACCGATGTGTTGAAGACGAAAAATATACATACACACGTTGGACAATATCAAAAAAACTTGTAGCCATTAGACAACAATTTGCAGCATCATTGACAACAAAATTAAGAGTATGCGCGCTGCAAGGAACAAACAATGCTCGAGGATTAATGTTTAATATTTTCTTTTGAACACCATTATTTTTGCCTATCATATTTGCGCCATTATCGTAGCCTTGGCCTCGTAAATTATCAATAGGTAACTCCATTTCTTCTAGTTGTTGTATTATCGTTTCTGCCATATAGGCTCCAGTTGTTTTCTTTAAAGGTGCAAAACCTAAAAAATGTTCTTTGATACTAAACTCTTTTTTCAATGAATCAACTTTAACAAAACGAATAATTATTGTCATTTGCTCAACATAGCTACAGTCAGGAGTACCATCGAGAACTATTGAAAAATATTTCATTGCATTTGCTGTTTGTATGATTTCTTTCTTAATAGCATTTCCTAACAGTTGAATAAGTTCATTTTGTATATCTTTGCCAAGATAGTGTGTATGAAGCTCTTTATTTGATATCTTTCGTAGATGTTCGTTCAATTTTAAAAAATTCCCTTTATTGGCACTGTACAATGTTTCATTTGTACCGCGAAAAGCTAGATTCTGTTCACCCAAAACTCTCACTAATGCTATTAAACGCTTTAGTATTTGCTGCCAATACTTTTCTTCATTCTTCATCTTGCGCAAAATTTCTGCATCTATTGTACTATGCCTCTGTAATCGCTGATGTAGTTCTTTCCACTTTTGATAGTTCTGCAAATGTTCAGGACTTTTCTCGTGGGAAGAAAGAATTGCTGCCATGTTTTTCCAGTCACTTGAACCTGTATGAGTTAGTGATGATATGCCAATTGCTTTCATACTGAACAGTTTGCAACAGAAACAAAACACTGAGTCTTTTAATACTGAATACAAGAGCCAGCTGCGACATAATTCTTCTCCAATAGGAAGTTTTCTTAAGTAGTGAAATACTGAAAACTTTCGATTGTTCTTATCATTTGGGAAACTGATATCTTTTATTTGCTGAGGTCCACGTTCTACAATGATTGCACGTGTATTATGATTTATTAGTAGAGGCCAAAGTGCTGGATCCTGTGGAATAACATTATCCGTTTTTTTTTTCACTTGCTTGCTGTACATGTTCCTCGAGAGAATTATTCAATTGGCCATTATCTGCATAGGAAACGGGAACTGTTGCGTAAGAAAGTGTTTCACTCATCATCACATTATCAAGTGTTTCACTCATCATCACATTATCATTATCAACAACATTAGATATTTCTTCAGCTTCCATATCAGTGGGAGTCTTGTCGGCATGTAAACTTTAGCAATGAACCCTTCTGTTTTTCTTGTTCCCTCTGCTGTTCAACTTTTCGTTTACGATATTGAGCTCCTGAAGGCTTCTTTCTCTCAGCCATATCTGAAATGTAACAAGAAAATAATAAAATAAATGAATGTTGCGATATTTAACTAATACATTAATAGGTCTTCTGTGATTGGCTTCAAGAATAAATTATATATAGCTAGCTATAGTTTCCAACAGGTCTGAACAGCTCTGTAAGGTTTTAACAGGTTATCATTTAACTGTATTAAACAAAAAACAACTTGGCAAAGTTATACGTCCTGCTAGTATTTTTTGTGTTTTTTTAAACGGAAATGGAAGTTAGCTATATGAATGAGATTTCAATGTGTAATTAGCTGGTGCAGATCAAGACATATTGTAGAAGCGACTCAATAAAAAATTTAACCTGCTAGATGCATTGTGTTTAAATAATTCAAATTTTATTTTGTATAGCAAAGTTATATGTATGGTGAAGTATAATAATAATATAATACGTAATATATAATAGCCCTAGATTTAAGCTAGTTATTATATATTCATATAAAAAATATTTTACTTTTCTTAATAAGTGTCTAAAACTTAATATAAATGTATAATAGTGTATAGAATGTCACTATTCATCTATATGTATATATATATATATATATATATATATATATATATATATATATATATATATATATATATATTGCCAGTATAAATTATATAAAGAATATAGTCGACTAACTATTAAAAGTTGTTATGAAAATCACTTTGATTGTAAAGACGCCGCCATATTTGTTATGATTTAGATTGCGTTCAGTAAAATGTACGTACATATTGCTCAATGAGCAAAAGCGTTGTTTATTTTTAGCATATAAAAAAACTTATCAATTTTTAGGCGCCCCTAAACTTTGGCGCCCTAGGCGATTGCCTAGTTCGCCTATAGGGTGCACCGGTCCTGGCAGCAGCCTATAAGGTAGTCGATGCAGCAACGCTCCGCATGTTTTAAAAATATATTTTAATAAAACAACATTAATATTGCGTGTTTTTTTTTAAAACAATAAAATTAAATGTACTTTCACATTAATTTAGTTTGCTTTATATATTATACTTTTTCACATTAATTTAGTTAGCTTTGATATTACGACAAAATCAAATACAGTATAAGAGCCGAGGTAATTAAAATTGTATTCGAAAGAGACTTTTTTTTACCATAAAAGTCTCTTTCAACTGCGATATATGAATATAACTATACATTTCGATCTATAAATCGAGATCTCAAAAAATTGGAGATCTCAATTTTTTTCAAACTAACCGAGGTATTGAGATATAGATGAAGATAATTTGATTTATTAGCTATAAATGAAAATTAATTTGCTGGCGTCGTCTTCTATAATATTTTAGCTAATTAACTTTAGATGAGAAAGTTGTAAATATTCTTCATTTCGTAACTTTTCCATTTTGTTGATGTTTTTTAAAAAATACTTAAAAGTTGACATGACTGAAGTATTATCTAGAATAGTTTTTACTTGAGTTACTAAATTTAAGTTATATTCGGTTGCGTAAAAATAAAGTGTGACGCGGAATATTTTTAATTAAGTTTAAACTAAACAACGTTTTAAAAGCAAGTGTTATTAAAGCTTGGTTTTGTTAGTGGGAATGGGGTAAAAAAGTTATTCAAACAAAAACTTAGCAAAATTTTTGCCATTTTAAAATGTTTTACATTTTAAAATGGCATAAAGTTCTAAACAGATAGTTAACTTATCAAACTGCTTATCGCCAGCGTGATTCCGAACGGAAAATCACGAAAAAAAAAAAAGGAATGCCACCAAAATGCTCAAAGTCAACGAATAAAACAAGATCCGAAAAATAAAATTTAGGAAAGTGTTCAAAAGTATGGACTCGATAAACAAAAGTTAGTCGTTGTTCTCAATTATAATTATATCTTAAACAATGTTAGTTTCTAAATGAAATAACAATAAATTTGAACAACAACAATATAAAACAATATAAAAACAAGAAATGAATAATGTCACTATTTCTACATCCCCTTCCATGTTTTTTCCAAGTGTCAATGAATATAAACATAATTTCTGAGTTCATTTATTAAGTCATCTAATGTCAAAGATTTCCCGGTTTCTGGTTGGTAGAATTTTTGGGGGATACGTAGCCTGGATGAACGTTTCAATGGTTGATCTCCTACGATTTCAGTGTTTAATAAAGGTGGCATCGCTAGATGACTTTGTTGCTACTTTCTGGGACATACTCTGTAAATGGTGTTGGCAAATTGGCAGAGTTATAGTGACTAGAGCTTGTTTTTGGTGGTGTGGTCAATGCAACTTCGGTTTCGTATGGCTTTAAAGGGTTGAAAAATTTGCGCAAATATTTTCTATTTCTCAATGTTAGTCGACCTGTTCCTTCAACCTTAATGATGTATTGGTCATTTTCCTTACATTCAACAACTTTACCACTTCGATCCCATTTTTAGGGTGGTTCCCTACTTGATTTTGTATGAAGACACTGTCTCCTTCATGTAGTGGTGTGAGAAAACGTGTGTGTTCTTGAAGTGATTGAAGGTTCTTTGCATATCTAGTTCGTAATGCTTCTTCTTTTGCAGACCATGCATGTCTCCACGTTTTCAATAATTGGTCGTTATTAAACATAAGTATGGATTTTATCCTGGGCATGGCGTCGCGAATGGGATGGCCAAATAATACTTAAGCGGGGGATAACTGACAAGTAGAGTCTGGTGTGTTTCTTATTGTAAGCATTGCCCTTACAAAAGCGTTATTATTGAGATCACCATTTGGTCCCACATTATTTTCGAGGAGGCGTTTTGTTGACTTAACTGCAAGCTCAGCTCTTCCATTAGATTGTGGGTGGTGGGCTGATGAAATGCAATGGGTTATGCCCCATTGTTGTAGAAACTCTTTTGTTTCTCCAGAGGTGAATTGAAGACCACCGTCAGTTGAAATTTCTTCTGGGACTCCAAATGTTGTAAATAGTTTACGTAAGCACGTGATAAGACCTTTTGCACTCATTTCTGATGTTCCTGATTTTATTCTGTAGGCTTCGGTCCATCCAGAAAGTCTATCTCCAATGACCAGATAATCCCAGCCACGGAATTCAAAATAGTCAGCAAATATGCATTCAAATGGTGTCACAGGGATGTGAAGTCGGATGGGTGGTAGTCGTGCATTAGAAGGTGCATTTCGATTACAGCTGCAACAGTTATCGCGCTTACTTTGTATGCTGTGAGTGATATCTGGCCAGAAAACAGTGGCTTGAGCTCCGGTTGTCATTCCCGATACTCCTTGGTGGGCTGAGTGTAGTACGTCCAATATCTCTTTCCGTAGAGTAGGTGGGATTACAATTCTGTTGTTGTATATTTTAACCCCGTCGGACACCATCAAGTCATTGCGGTATTCCAAGAACGGTAAAGTTATAAAGTTGTTCTTATTTTTGGGAAAACGTTTTCTATTGATAACATTAATGCTTTAAAATCGGTATCCTTTTCTGTCTCTGCTTTTACACTATGCCATGTTACTGCAATCATTTTATCTATGTCGTTTCGTATCGAGGCTATTATTAGTGATTCTGTGTTGTCAAAATCGGTATTTTGATTGTAAGTGGCTGAATTATCAGATTCCTTTGTGTTCTCTGCAGGGTAACGAGAAGTAGCATCTGCTGCCAGGTTTGTTTTTCCTGGTTGATGTTGGATGGTAAAATTCCATGGCAAAGTTCTCTGTTTTAGTCGGAAAAGTCGTGTGTTGGCAATTTCATCTAAGGTCCTATCTCCTAATAATTTGACAAGTGGTTTATAATCAGTTACTACCATAAGGTTATCACAACCTTGTGTGAAATATTTAGTCTGCTCCAGGCTCCATGCCACTCCTAGCATTTCGCCCTCAACTGGTGCATATCGTTGTTCAGCAGATGACAAGAACCTGGACCCTGCTAGGGTTATTTTCCATCCGTCTATTCAGCAATCTAGGGAGTCCGATTTACATTCACAATATTTTTAACTTAGGTAATATCCTATCCCCAATTTTGACCAGTCGCATCTTAAACAGATCTTCTTGGTAATGTCAAATATTTGGACTCCATCTTTAATTGCGTTTTTTCATTAAAATGTATTTTATAAATAAAATTAGTTTTTGAAAATTTTTTCACGATTGTTTTATAAAAATTTGACTTACCATTTGCAAAATATAATTCTGCATCATTTGAATGCAATATAGATCATATTCAAAAAAAAAGATAGGTCAAAGTCAAAAAAGCATTTATAAAAATAAAAATTAAAAAAAAAAAATAACATCAACAAACATTAACGATATCAAAGGATTGCTAGTCTGTATGCCTAAATCTGTGGATTCACATGTCTATATGTCTGAAGATGTCTGAAAGATTGTCAAATATGCAAACTTAAACTTTTTCAAAGATACTTCAGCATTTATTGAAGTTGAAGACATCAAAAATGGGTTATTATCTGTTGCTAATAAATAATGGAAACAATAGTATTAAAAATTACATACTAAACAAACGTTAATAAAATAAAAACTAGAAATATGTCTTACTTTTTCAAATAGTATAATTGCAAAACAATTCATATTCTTTACTCGACCAAGAGACAGATTATATATGCAACAAATCTTTAAAACAAACACAAATTGTTTTGATAGTCTCAAATACTATAATTAAAAATAAATTTTTTTTTTTTTTTTTTTTTTTTTTGCATATCTCAGACATTTTAAAATATAGATTTTAATAATTTTGTATAATAAAAAATATTTTATACCTTTATTGTATAATAAAG